AGGCTCAACTGTGCCCTGTGCCATCAATGTGACTTTGAGCAATTAGCTTCTCTCTGAACCTGAACTTCCTCCTTCTAAATCGGGAGGTGATGAGTATTGCGGAGATGTTTCCAAGAATCTAAAAATAAGGGGAAAAGCCTGCCCTCAGAGAATAAAAGTTTTTCATCAGGACATAACAACGAAGGGCAGAGAAAGGCCAAAGGCTCCGGAGCGGGCTGGCCTTGGCCGTGGCTTCAAGTGACTGTATCCCCAAACCCAGCAGAGGCTGGCCTCCAATGAGAACAGGAAGCAAAGGAATACGGAAAGACAAGTGACACCAGAGCCGCTGGCTGGCGGGGAACCCGAGTATTCCACACCCAGTGGAAGGCCACCCGGGGAGGGATGACTTGCTCACAGCTGGAGCTGAAAGCCACAAAGCCACCTTCTGACCCATTCGTGGGTCCCGGCCCGGCCCGTGCTGGCTGTGCCACCATCTGTAGGCCGCGCCACGTCCAGGGGGCAACCGGGGATCAGCAGGCTCTGCTCACTCAGACCTGGGGCATCTGGGCTCCTGGGAGAGTTAGCGCCGAGCGGAAAGTAGCAGATTTGATGTTTTCGTTATAGTTTGGTTTTCAGATCATCTCCCATGTGAGTTCATGTGTTCTGGGGGGTGGGAGCCTCTAGCTTCATAGAGTCTCAAAGGGGTCTTTGATTTTAAAATAACAACCACCAGCCTCTAAGAAGGGAATGGGCTGGTCAGGCCGACTTGGCTGATGGACGTGAATTTCACAATAAGAGACAGAGAGATGCTCGGGACCCTGAGAAAAATCTAGTTCCTGAGGCTGAAAGGCTGGGGGTCGCCTCCAAGACCACAGGAAAGACACTAGTGTGTGAGGGGACAGCCAGTCCACCGAGCCCCCCCCCCCCCCCCGCCCGCCCCGCAAATAAGCAAAACATGCCTCTCAACATCTCCACATCGAGGACAAGTCTAGAATAAATTTGTCTTTTTTAAATTTCTACTTACTACAGAGAATTGTAAGAACTAAAAAGAGTTAATATGTGTAAAACTATAAAGCATTATAGCCCAGCCAGCGTGGCTCAGTGGTTGAGTGTTGACTTATGAACCAGGAGGTCACAGTTCGATTCCCGGTCGGGGCACATGCCCAGGTGGCGGGCTCGATCCCAGTGTGGGATGTGCAGGAGGCAGCCGATCAATGATTCTCTCCCATCATGGATGTTTCTATCTCTCTCTCTCCCCCTCTCCCTTCCTCTTTGAAATCAATTTAAAAAAAATTTTCTTAAAAAAGCACTACATACAAGTATTAGTGGAGGTTTTCCCCCCTCTAAATTTAAACCTATCACCTAAATATAAAATAGGGTACCAGATGTCACTGGGTTTAGTAAGTTATATACACACACAGATCTAAATATTAAGTCCAAACGTTGATCTCCCATCATGATCGTGTCAATACCGATCCAAGTTATACCCTGGTTTCAGGGAGTTTCCTGAGGGGGGGAGAAAGGGAGTGTGGACCACTGAGGCACTGCAGGAGAGTCCTGCTTTGCTGTCTGTTCTGTCATCATATACCCGACCCCACAGAGGCATGAGGTAACGCCAATCTCATCTGAAGGAGTTCCCACCATCTACCTCATTAAACTTTTCCAGGATGAAATGACTAGAGAAAAATATGCTTTTTTAAATAAAATAGCCTGATTTTAAAAAATAATTTAAAATATCAATCCTCTATACAGGGGTCCTCAAACTACGGCCCGAGGGCCACCTGCGGCCCGCTGAAAACATTTATCCAGCCCGCCGGGTGTTTTTGCCGCCGCTGCCTGTCCTGCTTAGCAGCCGACTCGTCCCAGGCCCGCAGTGCGCATGTGTGGAATGTCTGAGGGACAGTGAACTGGCCCCCTGTTTAAAAAGTTTGAGGACCTCTGCTCTATAAGGTCGCTTGATTTAAAGGACAGAAACACAAAGTGGTTTTCAACACGAAATTTAAAAAACAAAAACAAAAAACAAAACAATCAACCCAATGACCAAACCCTAAGAAATTCCTCACCACAAAAACTCAGTTTTTCTTTTCTTTTCTTTTTTTTTTCCGGGGGTAGGGGGGGGAGAGGGAAGATTATTGACATAGTAGCTTCTCATTCATTACTTAGAAATTGCTATTGTGCAGGAAACACCTTTCCCTTCTAGACCAATCCTATTTGAGAAGTTTTGCATAAATAATAAGCCTCCCTCCACTGCCACTGAACACAAAACAGGAGGAAGCAAGTCCTAAATGGAAAACAAACCTTGACACTCCATACTTAGCGTTGTCATGACAAGACTCACTGTACAATTTCTTTCCCAGTCAGGGCGTCATTACAATATAAGAAAAGAAATACAAAGAGCATAAGAACTTGACGTTGCATACTTATTGCTGTCGTGGCAAGAGCCACTGCATAATTCCTTTCCCAGTTATAAGAAAAGACCGTAGCAAATGTAGGTGAAAAAAAGTGTGGCCCGTGAAAGGTGTGTAGTAAAGCCCCAGGACCTCGCCATTAGGATGCATTCCGTTTCTATCCAGAGTATGAAACTCCCCCCTACCAAACAGCAAAAGCCTCATATTTTTAAGATACATCTAAAATGTCATCACAGCCTCAGTCACGAGGCAAAGTGAAAGTCTGCAGTATTTCACAGCTGTGCAAATGCCTTCCCATGGAACTTTCTAGTTCATTTTTAACTTAAGCCCTTATCAACAGCCGTACAGACCCAGAAAATTTAGAAGAAACAGCCTGAAAATATAGCCAGCGTTATCTTTCCAGATAAGATAACTGGAAAGCAACGGACTGACTTAATTACACAACGCACAAACCAAGAGCGTGCTATTCAGGAGCGCGGTGCCGCTGAAAATGAAGAAACGGCCGCCTTTTCCGGCGAATAGAGCTGTAGGTCTTTGAATATATGAAACTTACACCCTGAAGCCCCCACAAGGAGACTTCGACACAATTAAAGCTCGCGTTCTTCCTAAAATATTTTAGCTCATGACAATCTAAAAATTAGGCATGCATGCCTAGCACTTGCTTAGCACTAAGTAAATGACAACCGTTGTCTTACACACACGGCCCATGTCTAGCTTCCAGATTCCGGCTAATGGGAATATTATTCCCCTAATCAACCCGCTGGAATGAATGTTAAATCATTTGAGGAACCAAAGAGTTGCTCCCTAGAATGGAACTTTACAGGGACCGGCACACATACTTTAAGTAGAATTTGTGACCGGTTTTGCCATCACTAAATTCATCACAGTAATGTTGCAGATATCTTTTTAGTCTTCATCAGCTTGAGTCGTCTTACTTCGCCAGGTAATGTTCGGACGGACGAGCAGAGATTCCAGAACATGCAGGCGTCAGCGTGAGATGAGGAATGACCCGAGGAACTCGGCACAACTTCCTATGAAAGGCTGCCTTCAAATATTTGAAGATCTCCCACGTCGGAAGGAGCTGGCACTTGTGTTGCATGACCGCAAAGTGACAGGAAGAGATGGGTGCACGGAGGGTTTACAAGAGAACTTCCTAACTCCATAGAAAGGTGCTCCTCCAGGTGGCCCGGATGTCAGAGGGCAGTCACCCATCCCGGCAGCTAGACTGGCCGTCCTCCAAGACCTTTGCAAGCATGAGGCACTACACGTTAGGTTAGGAATGCGAGACCTGCTGATGTCTAAGGGAGACTGGAACGGATCGCCTTGTGCTCACTGCACTGAAGCCTGCTGCTTTTGGACGCTGACTTTTGGTGCATTTTACTAAAGCCAAGACCTCTGAAGGGTGAGTCAACTCTCCTAATTGCTTAGTTCCCTATATTCAAGAGTAGCATGCTTGTGAACTCAGACTGAAGCCAACATAGCCCAGAGCTGGATGGATGGATGGATGGATGGATGGATGGATGGATGGATGGGTGGATGAAGGAAGGAAAGGAGGGAGGGAGGAAATAAATGGGGAGAGGAAGAGAAGAAAGAAGAGTAACCGAGTGAGGCACCACGTGGAGAAGGTTCTAGACCAGCGGTTCTCAACCTGTGGGTCTCGACCCCTTTGGGGGTCGAACGACCCTTTCACAGGGGTCGCCTAAGGCCATCAGAAAACACATATATAATTACATGTTGTTTTTGTGATTAATCACTATGCTTTAACTATGTTCCATTTGTAACCATGAAAATACATCCTGCATATCAGATATTTACATTACGATTCATAACAGTAGCAAAATTACAATTATGAAGTAGCAACGAAAATAATTTTATGGTTGGGGGTCACCACAACATGAGGAACTGTATTAAAGGGTCGCAGCATTAGGAAGGTTGAGAACCACTGTTTCAGACACATAGCCACAACAGAGCTAGAGGAAGAAAAACTAGAGGAAATCTGGAAAACGCACCTACTACGGGTCTAAGGTCAACATTTGCTCTTCCCTGTCCTGTCAACAATTCAACTGTCCAGAAGTCCTGTCTCCTGCACCTGTCCCTCAGAGCGCATGGCACACGGGTCTCCGTGCAACACGGCCTCATACCTGCTACCATGCTGTGCTTTCTGAAGGCGTTACATCTTGGACTGCATATAACCCCAGCCACCACCACCCCATGGTGCCGTGAAAAGAAAACCATCTTTTAATACGCCCTCCAAGCATTTTCTCTTGAGTTATCTGTGTCTGAAATCAGGCTTCTCTCCTGTTTACCAACACATGGCATGGATAGAAAAGGCTCTCGAGAGGCTGAAATTTTTACTGGGACATTTCAGGGTCAGAAAGGAATGGCTCTGGCATTGCACCGATGGGAAATGGAAGTGACTTACCGAGACCCTGTGGCAAGCTGCCAGTGATACCAGGCCCGTGTTTCCTGGCTCCTAATCTAGAACTTTCTCTTTTATTGTAGTACGACATCGTACAGTAGAGAGGACACAGGACAATGAGGGGCCAGCGATGACAGCGGGCCTTCGAGTTCACTAAGGGTGAAGGTCTGGCCCGGCTACTTTCACATAATCACCTTTTCCGGCTCCGGAGACCCTGGAAGAAGGAAATGGCGGCAAACGGAAGAGTGCAGGCCCAAGGCTGGGTCTAGGGCAGTGATGGCGAACCTTTTGAGCTCGGCGTGTCAGCATTTTGAAAAACCCTAACTTAACTCTGGTGCCGTGTCACATATAGAAATTTTTTGATCTTGCAACCATAGCAAAACAAAGACTTATATTTTTGATATTTATTTTATATATTTAAATGCCATTTAACAAAGAAAAATCAACCCCAAAAATGAGTTCGCGTGTCACCTCTGACACGCGTGTCATAGGTTCGCCATCACTGGTCTAGGCGGATGGTTACCAACCACCAATCACAGGGTCTAGAAGCTGCAAGACTGTGTTCGCTGTCTCCTCTGGAGGGCTTTTCCTCTAAGGTCCTGGACAAAGTACTGGAATATGTTTACCCTCCACGCCGACGCTGAAGCCTAGCCGACCTCGGAGAAGACTCCCCGAGTTGGAAGGAACGCTCACAGGATGTGAGCGAGGAGCCGCGGGGTCAGGTCTCCTGCGCTTTCGACCCCTGAAGCAATCAAACACAGGCGCAGGGGTTCTGACTTCTAATCAATGATAAAAACAGAGAGGAATAAAGGAGCGAGAAATAGAAGCAGAGGAGGCAGGTCTGGGACATCCAGCCTCATTAGCATGCAAATTACCTACCATACAGAGGACTTCATAATCAAGTAAGAGAGGCTAACTAAATCATTCCCATCTCCCCACGGCCAGGCCCGGAGCACAGGGCCAGACAACACCGCCGTGCACACGGCACACAGCTTCCCCTGCAGCAGCCTTCCCATGCACGGCTTTAGTCACGAAGGACGGTTATTTGCATGGAGAGCGATTTTTATGGCAAAGAAAAGACAAAAATGCCGTCTTGCCCTTTTACCTTTTTCCCAGGAATGGGGATTTCGGGGGCAGGGGGCAGGGAGGGGCCTGAGCTGCCCTCTTTTCTTAGTTGTGGAAATATTATTTGGAGGCCGGAGGGGGGCCGGGGGGAGAAAGCGGTCTGTTATACAACTTCTCATTAAGAGCAGCAAGATTGCACTTTTTGTGTTAAACAGAACAGGCATTTAACCCTCACGCTCCTCCTGGGAAATAAGGAACAAACTGCTTATTCACTTAGTCATAATTACTGCTGCTTATTCACTTAGTCATAATTCCGCTCTATCCGAGGACCGTCCGCACTTCGCTCTATCCGAGGACCGTCCGCACTTTGCAAACACTGCGCCGGTAGCTGGGGGAGACGCCGCAAAGTGATTTCTCCCCAAACACACAAACAAAAAGAGAATCGCTATTCTGTCCATTCCCTGCAAAATAAGAGGGGCGGGTGCTCATGATTCATGCCAGTTCATGTCTGAGAGAGGGCACAGCGAGGTAGAAAAGAACCTGGGATCAGGGAGACCTGGGCCACGTTCAGCTGGCACCGGGCAGAAAGGTCTTGCATGTAAACCTCCCTGGGCACCTGCACGTTCAGTAAAACGGGGCTGATGCTGCTCCCGCGATGACACCGGGCAGGCAAGGTGCCCATCGGCGAACGGCCTGGTGGAGGGCGAGCTCTCAATAAATGGTAGTGATTGTACTGCTGCTTCATGGAAGTTCAAGTTCTCTTTCCCTTCCCTGGTCAGGGCTCCAGGGACCCCCGCGCCTGTTGTCTAAGACCCTGAGCTCCCCGCTCCGCTGGCCAGCCCCTGACTGCTGAAGACCTCGTCTCTCCTTCTGCGAGCTTCGGTGCCTGAGCCAAAAGTTCCCATCCTGGTCCAAGCAGATGTTTGGCAAAGCCGAAGGCAGCGCGCGGAGGGGGCGCGGAGTCTGCGACGTTTACCCAGCACAGATGGGCCTGCCTGGGCCTCGCAGGGATCTAAGTGGGCTGCCCATCCACGGCGCTGGGCTCCGGGGGCCGACTCCAGGTCCCAGGCTGACGGCCCTGGAACGTCTATGTCTAAGAACAGAGAGCTACACCCAGCGCTTACATCTGCGAGTCCCTGGCACAAATCAGCTCTGACCGAGAATGAAATGACTGGAGGGTACAAATTACGTCTGTCCCTTGGTGAAAAAGAAGCAAGACCGTCACCGTTGTGTAACCCATAGGCAGGCCCCCAGCAACAACAGAGTCCTGTCTCCCCAGAAGCTATTCTCTCTTCCAAAATTGACTTTCCAGCTCAAAGTTAGGCTGGGGCGGGTCGGGGTGGGGGTAGGGGTGGGGTATAACAGAAAGTGCAGGCAGAGAATTTCCCTACACCCGAGAAACAGGCAGGACTATTTCAAGTGACCCACCAATCACTCAGGGATTGATTGGGGTTTGGGAAATGAGGGAAGAAACTCCATTTCCAGAGACGAAGAAACAAACAGCTCCGTCTCCACCTGATCGTTTCACAAACAGGAAGATGCAGACTCCCACCTGACATCACCATGGCTAGATAGCTCCTTCGTGAACGGCGTATTGTTCAAACAGTGAGCCAACGTAATGTGTTCTCTGAATTCGGACTCATCACAGCCGTCCAGATGCTGCAGAATCTTCAAGCAACTTCTCTGGAGGAAACATCTTTCTTCACTCAACTCTCTGTGCATTTCCCACTAGAGCCAGTGGTTCTCAACCTTCTGGCCCTTTAAATACAATTCCTCATGTTGTGACCCAACCATAAAATTATTTTCGTTGCTACTTCATAACTGTCATGTTGCTACTGTGATGAATCGTCATGTAAATATCTGATATGCAGGATGGTCTTAGGCGACCCCTGTGAAAGGGTCGTTCGACCGCCAAAGGGGCCGAGACCCACAGGCTGAGAACCGCTGCCTAGACTGTAAGCCCGTGAAGGAAGGGGCTGGGGTCTAGGTCGGATTCCTCAGAGCGCCCCCTTTGGGTGGCTCAGAGAAATGGCTCTACAACCAGGTACAGAATGAATGTGATCAACAATCCGACAAATCTCCTTAGGGACTGTCTTTAAGATGTTTTCAGCCCTAGCTGGTTGGGCTCAGTGGATAGAGCGTCGGGCTGTGGACTGAAGGGTCCCAGGTTCGATTCTGGTCAAGGGCACATGCCTGGGTTGCGGGCTCAGTCCCCAGTAGGGGGCGTGCAGGAGGCAGCCAATCGATGATTTTCTCTCATCATTGATGTTTTTATCTCTCTCCCTCTCCCTTCCTCTCTGAAGCCAATAAAAATATATTTTTTAAAAAATGTCATTTTCAGGCCTTCCTATCATATTGTACGAATGCTTCGAAAGGATAAGCTTTGCAACTGATGATCCAAAACTTTCAATGTCTACATAAGCAGAAATGACACCTCCGGGGAGAGATCAACTTCCTGTCACTCAATCTCTTGCAACCACGTGGGAGTCCCAGTCAACCGAGTTTCATTCTTCTTGCAAAGGGTTAAAAGAGGAACTCGCCTAAAGCAAAAGCTGCCTTGACCGTTCCAGGCCTTACTTCAGATGCTGGCCCTCTGTAGGCCTTGGCTTAGGAAGCGGACCCTATTAAATAAAAGTATTTCCTTTCTAACAGGCTGGTGTTTGTCGCCGGCCGGCCCAGTGAGTCCCTGGATCAGTTTACTCTTCCCAGTAGATCCCGTTATCAGTTTCATTAGCTCAACACATGTTTCAGTAAATAAGCAGCTCTATGATTTGAACAAATAGTCAGCTTTTACACTCACGGGCCTGTTAATTGAATAATGTGTCGACATGACAAACCGGTTGCCTCTTGCGATCTCACGCAAGTACCATCTCCTCTGGGCAGAATGTTCCATTTTTCTGAGATTCCGCCCACCCCCTACCC